TGGGCGAGTGAGGAGTGAGGAACTAATACAGAGAATTAGGACAGGCATTGAATTAGTTAGGAGCAAGGGAGGAATCCCGATCATACGTGGCATTCTTCCAAGAAAGGTAGTGGGAAACGAATGGATGTCGAGGGCACTTGGTGTCAATTGCCGGCTGGAAAGATATTGCAAATCAAATGCAATATCTTTCATAGACAACTGGGAACGCTTCTATGGAAGAAATGAAATGTATGCTCGTGATGGGGTGCATCTATCGAGGGCTGGGGTTGTTGCTGTTGCGAACTCGTTGGAACCAGTGGTTAGAGGTGTTTGTTTGGGTTTAAACTGTTAGTAGATAGTGGTATGGGAATTGATTTGGAGGAAGGAGGTAATAAAAGTATGTGTTCGTGGGAGAAAAGAATTGGCAAAATGATCAGGGAAAGAAAAGGGCCTCAAAATAACAATTCACTTAGGATATATTACACTAACAGTAGAAGTCTAAAAAATAAAATTAATGAATTAAATGCTCTTGTCTGCACAGAAAAAATAGATATTATTGCACTTACCGAAACGTGCATGAATGTAGAAAATAGAGAACTATTAGCTGAATATCAGATAAATGGATTTAAACTATTTCACACAGATAGATATATTAGACGAGGAGGGGGAATAGCCATATATGTTAGGGACAATTTGAAATGTAGTCTCAAAGAGGGAATCAAAACTGAGCCACACACAGAAACTATTTGGATAGAATTAAACGAAAAAGCAAATAATATTATAATAGGAGCTATATATAGGCCACCAAATTTAGACAGAATGGAAGCAAAGCATCTATGGGATGAAATATCTAGAGCATCTAGATCTAACAGTATTTATGTCATGGGTGACTTCAATTTTAGTGGAATAAACTGGGTGAACAAAACAGGGAATAGTGAAGCAAAAGATTTTCTAAAATTAATTGATGATTGCTTTCTTACGCAACACATTAAGGAACCAACACGGGAAAATAATATTTTAGATTTAGTGTTAACTAACAGGGAGACACAAATTAATGACAACGAAATAGGGAGTGAGCTAGGGAACAGTGATCACAAAGTTATCAGATTTAGCATAGAATGGAATAGACCTGTAGGAGAAAATTCTGTTAAAGTGCCAGATTTTCGAAAAGCTGATTTTAATAGCCTAAGAAATTTTTTGGGTCAAATAGATTGGAAAGAATTGGGTATGGGATGTGGGCCTGTCTTAGAGCGAGACATGAACCCAGCGACAGGTGACGTAAAAGGGGATTTCGATGTGGATTTAATATATAACTTATTTAAGAATATTCTAAACAAAGCACAGGAACGTAGTATACCATACAAATTGAATAGATCGAATACTAATGACCCAAAGTGGATAACAAATAATTTAAAGAACCTTATAGGTAAAAAGAGAGCTTGGTACAAAAGGATTAAGAATGGGGAAGTCAGATTAGAACAGGAATTCATACAACTGGTTAGAAATGTTAAAAAAGAGATTAGGAAAGCAAAAAGAAACTATGAAGTTCGCATAGCAGAGCAAGCAAAGTCAAATCCTAAAGGTTTTTTTTCAGTTATATCGAACTAAGACTAGGGAAAGGATAGGTCCATTAAAATCTGAGACAGGTCAAATAACAGATAATGACAAGGAGATGAGTAGTATTTTTAACAAATATTTTATATCTGTATTTACTAAAGAAGAACTTAACAATATGCCTTCAGCCGAACAAGTCTATGTGGATGGGGATGAGGACAGGTTGACTAGTTTAGCAGTTACCAGGGAGGATGTAATTAAACAATTAGAAAAACTAAAACCAAACAAATCCCCAGGGCCGGATGAAGTGTTTGCCTGGGTGCTTAAAGAATGCAAAGAGGAGCTTTCCGAGCCACTGTCTACCATATTTAGTAAATCAATAGAGTCAGGCAGAGTGCCAGAGTCATGGAAGGTAGATAATGTGGTACCAATTTTTAAGAAAGGAGATAGATCACTCGCATAAAACTATCGGCCAATTAACCTAACGTCTATTGTGGGAAAGTTACTTGAATCAATAAATGCAAATACAATTCGTCTCCATCTTGAAAAACATAAATTAATAAATGAGTCACAACATGGTTTTACAAATGGCCGTTCATGTTTAACAAATTTGCTAACTTTTTATTCCAGCATAGTTGAGGCAGTTGATAGTGGTAAGGATTGTGATGTTGTGTACCTTGACTTTAGCAAAGCTTTTGATACAGTGCCACATGAAAGACTAATTAAAAAAATAGAAGCTCATGGTATTGGGGGTGCTATATTAACTTGGATTAGGGCATGGCTATTCCAAAGGAAACAGAGAGTTAGTATAAATGGGGTTAAGTCAGAGTGGGATAATGTTGTTAGTGGAGTACCTCTGGGCTCTGTCCTGGGACCTCTGTTGTTTATAATATATATAAATGATTTAGATTCAGGTTTGAGTAGCAACATTTGCAAATTTGCCGATGATACGAAAATCGGTAGGGAAATTAAATCGGAGGAGGACTCACTATCACTTCAAGTTGATGTAGATAGGGTTTTGAAATGGTCAAATGATTGGCAAATGCAGTTTAATGTTGATAAATGTAAAGTTCTGAGGCTAGGTAATGATGATAGAGTTACAAGATACGAGCTAGATGGTGTTGAGATTGCGAAGTCGGATTGCGAAAGGGATCTGGGAGTTATGATTAGTAAGAATTTAAAACAAAAGGATCAACGCATGTATGTTCGTAATAAGGTGAATAGGACACTGGGATTTATAAATCGAAGCGTTAGTAACAAGACACCTGGTGTGGTTCTTAAGCTATATCTTGCTCTGGTTAGGCCCCTTTAGAATATGCAGTTCAGTTTTGGTCACCGTATTATAGAATGGATATAAATTCACTTGAACATGTCCAACGTAGGATGACTAAGTTAATTCCCCAAATTAGAAATCTTTCATATGAAGAAAGATTAACAAAGCTTAAGTAGCATTCACTGGAAAGGTGAAGAGTTACTGATGACATGATAGAGGTTTACAAGTGGATGAATGGACATAACAGGGAGGATATTAATAGGGTACTAAAAATATCAACACAAGACAGAACACGAAACAATGGGTATGAATTGGATAAGTTTAGATTTAGGAAAGACTTGAGTAAATACTGGTTCAGTAACAGGGTTGTTGATTTGTGGAACCAATTGCCGCGTAACGTGGTGGAGGTGGGGTCTCTCGATTGTTTCAAGCGCGGGTTGGACAAGTATATGAGTGGGATTGGGTGGTTATAGATAGGAGCTGCTTCGTATGGGCCAATAGGCCTTCTGCAGTTGCCTTTGTTCTTAAAATTCGTCCTTCACTTATGGTAGAAGAAAGTCTACTTGGAAGGATTCAATTTACTTAAGATTAAGAGGATACAAATATATCTGGTAATATGGTGTTAATGTAGTGAAAAAGATAAGGTGTGTAAATTATGTAGTATGCCGCACGCCCACACCTTAGATCAATATGTAGTGTCTACATATTGATAACTATATAAATAAGGAAATAAGTGGTGTACCACATGAAATTGTTTGGATGTGTGATAATGGTATAATAGATAAAATATTAAGAATTCTAAGATACAAGCATATTATCCCAAGTAACACTTATATGATGTGCTTACTATATTAACAGGCAATGTTAAATGTGATTCTTGAATTGTGATTTGTGCGCCCCTTGAGGGACTTTAAGTAGAGAGAGGGAAGGGGAGGGGAAGAAATAGCCTAAGCTACTCTATCCTATTGAGATGCATTTTCTTGTCTCAGTAAACGCACTTGAAATTGAATAGCTATTACAACAGCTATTCTTGCAGTTACAACAGCTTGCCCGAAAAGCTATGCATACTAGTGGCTTTACCTCTATAATTGAGATATATAATAGGTGGACAGAATTCATGGTGTTACTATTTTATCTCCTGTGTGAAACACATAGTCACACCAGTTAAAAGGTTAGTAAAAGAAAAAGTCATCGCACACACGTGGTAGCTGATGCAATCGCCCGGCTATCCGTCTCTAGGAAACTTCTGGCATTCACCTACTAGAAATAAATATTGTTAGTAAAATGAGTTTCCTAACACAACGAATTTATCTTGTGGGGCAGGGGTAATAATTTGGGTGTCAGAACTTCCGACATATGGTACATCGATCAAAACTGAACTGCAAGATCTAAATGGAGCCTAACCAGAGCCAGATATAGCTGAAGAATAACACCAAGTGTTTTATTACTTTTGGAGCGAGTATAATATTGGGATAATCTACTCGCTTTATACTAAAGCTTCAATAAATAAATCTCAATGTCCTATTTGCCTTATTTCGTCAACAGATCACCGTGAGCAGCGATTTTCCTTCTTTCTTATGTTCTAATTCAAAACTTTGAACTAAAATGAGCTAAGCAAGAAGAGGTTCCATAAGTATTTATTTATGTGATATTGATACATCGAACATGTGATATTGGTACATTGAACACGTGGTATTGATACATAGAACATGTGATATATTCAGGATGTCCTAAAAGTAAGTTAAAGGCGGTGCTAGTGAGGTTGTTCAGCTGCGTTTCCACAAGTATGGTGGTGACAGTGTCGACGTTCATCACCGTCAGGGGCTTAGTTACCTCCAATAGCTGCACGTCAATCATTACCAGTTGCAGGGCTGGTACCGTCACCTTCTGGACTGTGACGCTGGTCACGGGAACAACATTGGTCTGGAACACGGTGTTGAGGATGACCTGGTTGATGGGCAACGACGCTTGCAACACCTCGATCTGTGACATTCTGCCTCTCGTCCTAGAACTGCACAGTCTGGGAGACGGGACAGACCAGTGGCCGTCGCTTGTAGTACAGGGCAGCGGCCAGCTGCACAAGCACCGCTAGGTAGATCACAACCTTAGACATGGAGTATGAGCCTGATGACTACCTGGATCTTTCACAACGTTTTCTTTACCCTTGTACTGTGAAACAAAGTGTAGTATGACCCTAATCACTCACTGAATTTTCCACAGCCTTTTCGTCAGTCTTATAATGACGGTTTTCAGGCTTGAGTTCCCACATATTTTTGTGTGGATGTTTAACATTATAGTCACATAGTTCCTTCAGGATCTCCTTTAGATATGTGATTGGTTGTCGGGTAATCTTGTGGAGATCCTTAATATTGTAATACTGATGCTTTTCAAATGCAGCAAACAACAACTCCATGACCTTATCCTTATCATCACGAATCATCTTGCCTGCTGCCTTCTTCTTCTGTTCTAAATGAACATTTTGTTTATGATGTGATATAGGCTTATAGACATTCAAGGGTCTGTCAATAAGCTTTACCGTGCGAAGAGGCTTGGCAGCTTTCTTCACAGCTTCCTTTTTCTGATTGATATAGTAGTCGTCCACTACAGGCTGACATTCTAGTTTGTGGATGACTTGTCCCTCCAAGTACAATTGCTGTGTCTCGGGAGCTGCAGCAGCCGAGCTACTGCCAGGATCTGGTTGAGAAAGAACTCCGAGTGTCATTTCCTTAAGACTATGAGAGATTACCTTGTGCTCCCGAGGAATTTTGCCGTCCTTCATGGTGTGTTCGCTTGACTTAAAGGTTATTGTTGGACGTTCACCAGGAACCCTGGTAATCTTAAGCTTCCCAACGTCATGGCCAGCACAGTTTGCCCATTTGTCCCCCAAATATTTAGGTACCTTGACCAGCCACAGCCCACGGCTGCAATTCGTAACATCTAAATCCTTCTTAGACTGTTGACTCATGATGGAAAACACACAAGAATATGTAGTTACGTGACCACTTTATAAAACGTCTTTCCGACACGTGCCAGTGTTTCAGAAAGTATCTGGAACACGGCTGGTGAAACTGGAACCAACCCGCGGCGGCCCAGGGTTATATAGCTGCTACCTCAGGTGACGAAGGTTGCTGGATGATGGAACTTGTTTCTTTGAATTTTTTCTATGCAAATAAATATTCAAACGTTTAAGAACATAAGAGTAAAGTCGACTAAGGCAGCGTCTTGGATCATCCCGGGCGTAAGTTCGAACCCCTCATCACTGACCTTGTGGATTTGTTTATTTGATGCATCACGCTATTGTGATTTATGTGTTTATTTATTCATAAGAATAAAGTTAAACTGACAATACAAGACATGTATGTTTATACATGTGCATGAGTAGACTATACAAGACATGTATGTTTATACATGTGCATGAGTAGACTATACAAGACATGTATGTTTATACATGTGCATGAGTAGACTATACAAGACATGTATGTTTATACATGTGCATGAGTAGACTATACAAGACATGTATGTTTATACATGTGCATGAGTAGACTATACATGAGTAGACTATACAAGACATGTATGTTTATACATGTGCATGAGTAGACTATACAAGACATGTATGTTTATACATGTGCATGAGTAGACTATACAAGACATGTATGTTTATACATGTGCATGAGTAGACTATACAAGACATGTATGTTTATACATGTGCATGAGTAGACTATACAAGACATGTATGTTTATACATGTGCATGAGTAGACTATACAAGACATGTATGTTTATACATGCATGAGTAGACTATACAAGACATGTATGTTTATACATGCGCATGAGAAGACTATACAAGACATGTATGTTTATACATGTGCATACTATACAAGACTATACAAGACATGTATGTTTATACATGTGCATGAGTAGACTATACAAGACATGTATGTTTATACATGTGCATGAGTAGACTATACAAGACATGTATGTTTATACATGTGCATGAGTAGACTATACAAGCATGAGTAGACTATACAAGACATGTATGTTTATACATGTGCATGAGTAGACTATACAAGACATGTATGTTTATACATGTGCATGAGTAGACTATACAAGACATGTATGTTTATACATGTGCATGAGTAGACTATACAAGACATGTATGTTTATACATGTGCATGAGTAGACTATACAAGACATGTATGTTTATACATGTGCATGAGTAGACTATACAAGACATGTATGTTTATACATGTGCATGAGTAGACTATACAAGACATGTATGTTTATACATGTGCATGAGTAGACTATACAAGACATGTATGTTTATACATGTGCATGAGAAGACTATACAAGACATGTATGTTTATACATGTGCATGAGTAGACTATACAAGACATGTATGTTTATACATGTGAATGAGTAGACTATACAAGACATGTATGTTTATACATGTGCATGAGTAGACTATACAAGACATGTATGTTTATACATGTGCATGAGTAGACTAAATATAAATAATAATATTTACAACAAGTTGAAATTTACGTTTACTGATATAAATTCAGGAGAACACGTCCAGCGTAGGATAACAAAGTTAATCCTGAAAACAGAAACATGTCATATGAAGAAAAATTTACTAAGACTAATTCGCATTCTCTAGAAAGATGAAGAATTCGGGGTGACATTAAAGAGCTGTACAAGTAGTTGAACGGACACAATAGAGGGGATATTAATAGGGTGTTAAGAACATAAGTATGAAGGTAACTATTTTTTGCCCATGCCCATTTAGATTATGCAGTTCAGTTTTGGTCGCCGTACTATAGAATGGATATAAATTCACTTGAACGTGTCCAGCGTAGGATGACTAAGTTAATTCCCCAAATTAGAAATCTTTCACATGAAGAAAGATTAACAACGCTTAAGTTGCATTCACAGGAAAGGCGAAGAGTTAGGGGTGACATGATAGAGGTTTACAAGTGGGTGAATGGATATAACAAAGGGGATATTAATAGGGTATTAAAATTATCAACACAAGACAGAACACGAAACATTGGGTATAAATTGGATAAGTTTTGATTTAGGAAAGACTTGGATAAATACTGGTTCAGTAACATGGTTGTTGATTTGTGGAACCAATTGCCGCGTAATGTGGTGGAGATGGGGTCCCTCGATTGTTTCAAGCGCGGGTTGGACATGTATATGAGTGGGATTGGGTGGTTATAGATAGGAGCTGCCTCGTATGGGCCAATAGGCCTTCTGCAGTTACCTTTGTTCTTATGTAACTGCAAAAGGCCTATTGGCCCATGCGAGGCAGCTCCTATTTAAACTTTTCTCTACCATAAGTGAAGGACGAATTTGTATTTATTATTTCCTAATTCTTAAGTGTGTTACTGTTGCCCACCATTGGCATTCTCTTAACTTTTTCTTCATCCTTTTGGATCATCTTGATACATGTCATTATTTGTTTTAACAGTTGTCTGACATACAACATCGACAAGAGTTTTTTTCGTTGCTTTCTTCGCTACCTCATCAACTGCTTCATTCAACAGTATTCCCACATGTGAAGGGATTCACATGAATCTTACCTTATACCCATTTTTTTCTAATGTCTTAACATTCTCTCTACACTCGATCACAATATTCTGGTATACTGATCGCCTGCTATTTCAAGACTCCAACGCTCGTCTAATGCCTATAAAGAAATAGGCATTTTTTACCACATATGACTTCCTGTAATCCTGCTAATACATGTTGAAGTTCTGCTTGCATTGAGGAGATATTGTCAGTTAAGCGGCGTCCAATATCAGTATCTACAGTGCCGATGTCAGTGTACTGCCTAATCAAGACTCCACATCCTGCCTTTCTATCCCTAGCTACTGTCTGATTACATTACAGATAGAGAGTATTTGCTGTAGGTAATTTTCTAATAATACAATCATATGTTGCCCTCAGCTCTCCAATCTCATACACATTTATTTTTCTCTTGCAGGGGAATAATTACTACATCTACGTTACAATCTTCTCATGGTGGTGTGAATTGACTCTTAGGCAAAGCAATACATTCTGGAATAACATCATACTTTACAACCAGCGTTGCTGCTCAATGTCGGAAAAGAACATAATGTACTCATATATGCTCTCTTATTATACTTTATCAAACATTGTTCATTACTTGTTACCTTTTGAACTGAGAGGATTAATTCATTAGCTCCCCTACCTCTCATTAATCTAATGGCAGAGGTTACATTTATCTCTGAAATACTATCCCAATATTTTTCAAATTCAATTCCATCCTCGTTATCTCAATCATATCATTTCTTGGGGATCCTAAGATTCTTCTCATGGCTTCATTTTGTACCTTCTCCAACTTGCCCAATCTACCTTTATCAAAATAAGAAATGACAGGTGCAGCATAATCAATAAGGATCTTACAGAACTCAAGTATATCATTCGTAACACAAGGACTCCCACTCCCGTTCCATAGCATGCAAAGGCCTTCAAAGGTTGTAATATTTTCAGACATTGACCCAACAGTTTGTTCATCCTAGCTTCCAAACTCTTATGGGTATATCCAACATATGTGCCTAAAATATTTATATATATTAATTCCCTCTATATTTTTACCGTTTACTTTCAGTATAATAGGCCTCCGACTTCTACATTCAAACTTAGTTTTGTCCTCATTATCCACCAGTCCCATATGGTGACACAGATATACAAATTATCTAACACCATTTGAACCGTTGAAACATCTTTGCCCTGAAACAAAATATCATTGGCATATATGATCAGAGTTACCCAATTTGAGTATCTCTCAGATGCTATTCTGTTCATTTGTATATTAAACCGGTTGAGACTTACCACTCCATCCTGAGGTGTGCCATGTTCAAAAGATCGTACACCTGACATACAACCTTGATTCCACAACTGAACCATTCTTTTGTAAAGATAATCTCCTATCCTGTGCAATAATCTCCCTTTAACGCCAAGACCAGCTAGTTGATATAAGATCACCTTGTTGACCAATCTATGTCACAGTGAGCCAACTCCATGCTGAATTTGTCTCCTGTAGCCATCACTCCACAGTGAGCATTTGACTAATAGAACGGAATACGAATTGAATCGTGATAGAACCAGCGTTGCTGCTCAGTGTCGGAAAAGAAATACTAAAAAAGAGATAAGGAAAGCAAAAAGAAACTATGAAGTTTGCATAGCAGAGCAAGCAAAGACAAATCCTAAAGGGTTTTTCCAGTTATACCGGACAAAGATTAAGGAAAGGATAGGTCCATTAAAAACTGAGACAGGTCAAATAACAGATAACGATGAAGAGATGAGTAGTATTTTTAATAAATATTTTATATCTGTATTTACTAAAGAGGAACTTAACAATATGCCTTCAGCCGAACAAGTATATGTGGGTGGGGACGAGGACAGGTTGACTAGTTTAGCAGTTACCAGGGAGGATGTAATTAAACAAATAGTTAAACTCAAACCAAACAAATCCCCAGGGCCAGATGAAGTGTTTGCCAGGGTGCTTAAAGAATGCAAAGAGGAGCTTTGCGACCCACTGTCTACCATATTTAATAAATCAATAGAGTTAGGCAGAGTGCCAGAGTTATGGAAATTTGCTAATGTGATACCAATTTTTAAGAAAGGAGATAGATCACTTGCGTAAAACTATCGACCAATTAGCCTAACGTCTATTGTGGGAAAGTTACTTGAATCGATAATTGCAAATAAAATTCGTCTTCTTCTTGAAAAACACAAATTAATAAATGAGTCGCAACATGGTTTTACAAATGGCCGTTCATGTTTAACAAATTTGCCATCTTTTTATTCCAGCACAGTTGAGGCAGTTGATAGTGGTAAGGATTGTGATGTCGTGTACCTTGACTTTAGCAAAGCTTTTGATACGGTGCCACATGAAAGACTGATTAAAAAAATAGAGGCTCATGGTATTGGAGGTGCTATATTAAGTTGGATTAGGGCATGGCTATTCCAAAGAAAACAGAGAGTTAGTATAAATCTATGTTAAATATAATAATCTATGTTAAATGTGGC